AGTCATTGTATTCATATAGAGTCAAGGAGTGTAGCTGTAAAAAATCATCAAAATCAGAGTTGAAATAACCGTTAAATCTTGTTTTTAAAAAACCGTCATATTTACTTTACAATAGACGACCCTTTTTAAAAACAAACCGTCATCTTTTTATATAATAGACGACCTTTTTTTTAAAAAAACCGTCATCTTTACTCATAATAGACGACCCTTTTTAAAAAAAAACCGTCGTCTTTACATATAATAGACGACACTTTTATATAAAAACCGTCGTCTTTACTTCATAATAGACGACCCTTTTTATAAAAAAAAACCGTCGTCTTTACATATAATAGACGACCCTTTTTATAAAAAAAAACCGTCGTCTTTACATATAATAGACGACCCTTTTATATAAAAAGGGTCGTCTTTACTTCATAATAGACGACCATTTTTATAAAAAAACCGTCGTCTTTACATATAATAGACGACCCTTTTATATAAAAACGGTCGTCTTTACTTCATAATAGACGACCCTTTTTATAGAAAACCGTCGTCTTTACTTAATAATAGACGACCCTTTTTATAAAAAAGGGTCGTCTTTACTTCATAATAGACGACCATTTTCATATAAAAAGGGTCGTCTTTACTTAATAATAGACGACCCTTTTTATTTACTTAATAATAGACGACCCTTTTTATAAAAAAACTGTCGTCTTTACTTATAATAGATGACAGTTCTTTCAAAACAACCATGTCTTTACCAAAAAAAGGACACTTGATTTTTATAAGACGACGCTTGTCATACCTGCTGTCGTTGTTTTTTTGTCAGATTTTAACTCTGAAGAAAAGCTTTTTAATAAGACGACGCTTTTTTATTTGTGTGCGTTGTTATAAAAAAATTCTCAACAGTATCTCCATTTTTTAGTTGTTTAAGTCACTTATCCACGACGGTTTTTTGTTACCGTCGTCTTTTTAAAAACAACGACGGTTTTTTGTTCTACCGTCGTCTTTTTCTGGTCGTCTTTTGCCCTTTTTGTAGTAGTGTGTGCGTGAAAGTTGGCTGATGTGTTTCCAAGTCAAAAAAGGATTCTTTCCTAGTTTGTTTCCTTAATTGTTTGGGATTTTGTTTTGCTTTAGGAGAGTTTTTCCAGACCTTTTTAGAGTAGGGTTTAGTTGTTTTACACTATATAAGGTCACCCTAAGCTCTCTCTAGGGACGATCATCTTTTGCACCATATTTTTCCACCAACTTTCATACACCCAGAGAAATATAGAGCCAAGAATTTTCTGCTGCACTACTTGAGGAGATTTCGAAGGTGTTCTGGTGGAGAATCCAGAGATCAAATCCATCGGCCAAATCGGTTTTATGACAACAATTCTCTTGTTTAACTTTTCTTTTGTCATGAACTAATTTTCCTTGCTAGGGCTACGATGTAGCCTAACCATGAATACTTAATTTTTATAGTTATATTAATTTTTGATTTCTATTCTATGTTGAGTATTTGTTACTGTTCTTAAAGCTTTGAATATCTGGCCAATATTTAATTGATTTGATGATCCAAGCGAAGACCGAGAGGAGATGTTTGGTGTTTGCTTCTCGTAACAAATACCATGTCTTGAATGAGTGCCTGAGAGGGACTAACATGACTCATGCAGTTTTCTTGCAAGTTCTCATAGAACTTAATGGGTTCTTGATTTTCTAAATCCGTTGCTTGAGAGAGAATGGGTTGTTAATTATGAATACCTTTAATAGATAACTATAAAGAAACCCATTTCTAGCTATAGAATCATAAAAATACCCTTCATGAAATTGACTTCATAAACACGAGTTTTTATCAAAATTTACCAAAATTTACCCCCTACTTTCATAAATGTCAGTTTTTATAAAAACTTTCAGAAATAGCAAAAAACTCACCTAAAAATACTCAAACGCCCTTAGAAGTAAAAACCCACAAAAACCTAAAAAGAAAATCTGCAATCTCTATTTTCAATTTGATTTTAAACATAAAAACAAAGGTACTACAAGTACTGCATCCACCCAACATTTAGTTGAAGCAAAGCTTTTGTTCTATGATCTCCTTCATCTCCATTATCTAATTACTTAATTATCTCTAATAAGTCATATATTTGTATTATATATTTAACAAGGCACTCATAGAGTTATTGATCCATCTCCGCAATGTAGAGGTTCATATTGGAATCTAATTAGCAACTTTGAAGTCCATATATGGCTGACAAAGAGTTGTGCGTGGCCTCCAATGGTGATAGCATCAACATGGTTGAGGACAACAGATACTACCAAAAGCTTCGAGCCCAATAACAGAGACAACAGACATAGGGGAGTTTTTATGTTTGAAATCAAATGAAAACGGAGATTGCATGTTTCCATGTTTTGCTTTTTTAGGTTTTTGTGGGTTTTAGTTTTGAGGGCATTTGAGTATTTTTTAGGTGATTTTTTTGCTATTTTTGAAAGTTTTTATAAAAACTGACATTTATGAAAGTATGGGGTAAATTTTGGCTATTTTTGATAAAAACTCCATAAACACACCCAATCTAACATTAAACAGACTATAAACACACCCTACTATTTCTAGTTTTTTTTTTATTTTTTTTTTTTATAGTTTACTTAATATACAGATTTCCTAATTTACCCTTTAGTGTGAAATTCATATTAAAAAACTCAAAACTGGATTATTACTCATCGGTTGTTACTCTCTCTCTCTCTCTCTCTCTCTCTCTCTCCCTCCCTCTGGTTATTACTCAATTGCAGCCAGATATGGAGCTACGGTCAGAGTTATGCGGTCTCGTGCGCCCTCTTCTCTGTCCATCTCTGAAACCAAATGTATAATCCAAGCCAACGCAGCGAGAGAGAAGAAGCTTCACGAAGCTCTCTGGTGCAGACGTGGACATATTTAGCACAAAGCAACACAACGCCAGAAGTAGCAGCCTCGATCTGATGAGTTGTTGCAGAAGACAATGGATTTCTCAGTAAAAATTAAAATGGGCGAATTTTCATTTTCCATTGTTTATGCTTAATTTTTTATTTTCCGATTAATTAAGTAGCATTAATCGTATTTTATTTTTGTAATTTTTTGGGGTTGAGCAGAGATCGAGTTCTTTATCATTGGGAGAGTGGATTTGCGCAGCAATTATACCATTTGTAGCAATCATAGAGGTTTTGATTTTTGCTGTGACCGATTGCTTCAGCGATCGTGTGTGCGACTCTCGTCGATGAAACCAGATGTATGAATTTTATTTTTAAAAAAATATTCAGAAGATTAAGAAAACTATATATATGCAGAACTTCGAATTGTGAATTATTTCCTTTTGCTTTGGGAATTTAAGAAATAAATGATTAGTTAATGAGAATTTTGAACGCTGTTTGTGTTGTTTACTTGCGTGAAATGATGATGCAGTTACTGTTAATGAGCTAGAGGATGAGCTGTTTAAAAAGCTGAGTAGTTCAATTATCGACGACGGATCGATTCATAAGGTCAGCCAAATTTCTTTGAATCATTCAAATTCAATTATGAAGAAATGTGTTGTTTCTTTCTAGTTTCTTTCTAGAAATCCTGATTTTGTTGAAATCAAAGGAGTTACATACTGTGGATCGTAAGTTTTGTTTTCTTTGGTTTCTAAGTAGTCTTATCATTTAAAATGGTTGAGTTCTATAATCAGAATGATCTATTGACAGGTCTGCTACATCAAAGTTGACCATGGAGAATGTGCCATGGCATGCTGATGTTAAGGCTTTTTCAGAGGCCTTAGCTTTGAAAAGTAACGGGGAATATGAGGTGGCATGTGAGCATGTCCACTCATGTTCAATTCATTCGTTCCTATGGAAAATTTAGGTGTCTTCCGGAAGACCTTTTGACAGTAAGGATTACATGGCTGCCACACCTTCATGGGCTATTTATGGTGCAGAGGAAGGTGGATTTGATCTGTATCAGTCTCGATACAAGAAGGAGCGTCATCACAAATCAAACCAGTGACAACTAGGTTTGGATCAGTATGGAGTTTTAGGAAACAGTTTTGATTGTAGTTCTACTTTCAAACAGTTTTGCACAACATGACTAGAGTCTACTGATATAGGCACAATTTATTGTTTAAACGTTGAAATAGTTTATCCTCCTTGTATTCTAATTACCATCTGCTTGTTTTTGGATGATGATTATGTTTCAGGAAGAGTTTCAACTAGCACTATTCAGAATTCTGTTTGTGCCTAATAAATCATGGCCAGAAGGAGCCCCTTTTTCTCGGCCCTAGCACTTGCTCGTAAATCTAAAGATGTTTGGCCTTCCTGACAACAAAAGAAAAATTGCTAAGACATGATCATCTCGGCCTCGATTATAGGCCGAGGCCGAGGCCGAACAAAATCACGGCCAAAGGTATTAAAGTCAAATCATAACGTGACAGCAGGGTCCCATGCTTCATTTAATGAAGTAATGCCTCTGTTTATTGCAGCAAACCCACTGGCCACGAATAAGCATTTAATGCACAAGGGAAGGTGGGAAGTGACTGAAGTCAGGATTTTGTGATAGGAATCAGAGTGATTAGACGCAAACATTCTCACAAGGATTCTTACAGCTTGAGAGATTAGGTCACCAGCTATTAGAGCAATAAATGCGTCCCCACGGCCAGAAGCGCAGAACCCACGATCAGGGCGGCGGTCGAGATTTACCAGGATTCATGGGGTCACACCACCATGCTACACGATCCCAAATGTCGATTGGACTACCCACTTGCTTTGATCAGGCTCCACCATACAGATTTTCAGCCTCGATTACTTCTCCAAGCGCTCTTCCTATAAATACCAAGTTCGAGCTACATTCAAAGGGTTCAAACGCCAAACCAAAGCCTCCCACGGAGCAACTTATATTTTCCTGTAATGCACTTTTAATATCTTTACTTGCTTTCCTAGGAGTAGTGTTAAATTGTAAGAAAAATCCGTTCATCAATATATCATACGACCCTTGATTTTCAAGGTGCCGGAGCACCATCTCTGTTACTCTCTCATTCACCCCATATATCATACGACCGTCGCTCATCGAGCAACGCGCCAGAGCAACGCCCAAAATCCACCATCAACACCACCATTAAACGGTCTTGTAGCTCAGGCCGTGAACCTGACGGCCGAGATCAGTTCCTCTCTCGGCCACAATCGTTTGATTAGGAATCGAACCCAAACAGGCGCACCACTTAACTATTTTCATCCACATCACCATCTCGACGCACGGTAAACCGTGCTGGCACGCCCGCGCACAACCGCACCGCATCCAAAAGCAGGAAGCCACGTGTTAACGCACATCCCCTCTGCCCGGAACCCCAGGCCGTGAGATTTGCGCAGCCAACAAACTCCCTATGGTGAAAATCATTTCCTGGACAAGGTATATGCTTCATACCAACATCTTGAACTAATTGACTAGGATATATATAATTCCTTGCACCTACTTACGCGAACTGGATTTTGCTTTTCTAGGTTTTTAATCTCTTTGATGGAAAGAAAAATGGTGTCTTTGAATTTGATGAGTTTGTTCATGCACTCAATGTCTTCCACCCATATGCCCCTATAGATGATAAAATTGATTGTAAGTCTTACTGCTATAAGAGGCAAAGCTAAGTGTTGTGTGTGTGTCTTTCTTGTTATCTTATGTTATTTGTTAATTACTTGCAGTTGCATTTAGGCTCTATGATCTGAGACAAACTTGGTTCATTGAGCGAGAAGAAGTGAGTCTTGTACTACTTTTTTTACTGTCTAAGTCTTTGAGGAAATTTATGTTTTTATGGGTATTTGTAGGTTTGATACCTTGTATGAACACGGACACGATATTTCAATTAAGCGGCCTCTGTTTGGTTTCAGGTTAAGTAAATGGTGATTGCCATAATGATGGAATCTGACTTGAAATTGTCAGATGATCTTCTTGAGTCTATCATTGCTAATGTAAGCACTACGTAGTTGTGTAAGTTTGGATATTGTTTTACTGGATGGTAATTAGAGCTTGTGGAGAATTTAGTACTCACGACATCTTCTATGACATAGTATTAACAGTGTACTTCTATGACATAGTATTAACATTGTACTTTTTTTCTTTCTTGTAGAGGTATTTCCTTTTGCCTTTGCGATTGTATGTGGTGAAACTATGGACAATTGAAGGTGGTTTCTGCAAAAGATATCGGATGTCTTGCTGGGGTTTTTTTAAATTTTTTGTATGAAATGATACTAACAATGTACTTCTATGAAATGGTATTAACAATGTACTTCTATGACATGGTATTAACAGTGTACTTCTATGAAATGGTATTAACAGTGTACTTCTATGAAATGGTATTAACAATGTACTTCTATAACATGGTATTAACAGTGTATGGAGGTTCGGTGGAGAAGGGTCGTAAGGCAGCTCCTTGATTTTTGTGATTTATTTATTTATTTTTAAGTTTGGGTTTTTAAAAAAAATTTGGGTTGGGCTTGTTTTGGGTTTTTTTTGTTGAGTTTTTTTGTGTTGGGCTTGTTTTAAGTTAATCAATGGTAGAGATGTAATTTATAGGAACTTCAACACTCATTTCTTATGTAGTAAATTGTTTTTGGGTATGTTTTTAAAGTGCATTCCATGCGGGTTTTTTTTTATTTATTTATAATTTCAGCCCTTATTTTGGGTATATTACTAAAGCTCCCTACTTTTGATTGAGCCCGAGAGGGGATATCGAATGAATTAGGAGAAACCAACTGTCAACATGGGTAGTAATTCGGGTTAATTGGTTATAAGAATTAAGTGGAATTGGTTATGGTGAAATCGGATGCTTTAATGTCTCATCAACTTGATTTTCCATCATTAATTAAATTGCTATTTTTAAAAATACATGGGTATGTTTACCACTGTTTTAAAAAAAATATATTTATCACCTAATGCTCTCACTTTGGTGAGTTCTCCCTCCCTTATATACAATATTGTTTCCCTTTTGACACTTCTACTTACACATTATATGCACATCACATCACATCACATGCACACCACTTACACATCACATGCACACAAACAGTCAAGCAAATTCATATACACACAAACAAACAAGAAAATTCATATACACGCTACAAAAATGCATTATCTTCGGTGGAAGCATGTAGGACGGGTTTAAGGACTTTTTGACAATTTCCCCATATTTATATCCGAAGGTCAAATTTGTATTATTCATCAATCGAGATCAAATGCAACCCAAAAATCGTCACAAATTCTAAAAATACTCCTCCATTTGTTCATAAATCGACACCAAAAAATTTCCTCATATGTCTCCAAAGTTATTAATGGGCCCTAAATGTCCAAAGTTTTTAATGGGCCTTTAACTCTCCAACCAAGAGGCCAGACTATAATGAGTGGAAAGTTATGAGTGGTAAGTTATAAGGGGTTCACTTTATAGCCATCAGATCAATCCAAAGG